ATAGTATGTATACTATGAAATAATTTTAAAAATATGTAGGTAAATAAGATTTTTACCTGAGTAGAAAAAGGTAACATACATCAAAGTTTACTAATGGTGATTCTTCTCCTTTGTGGGGTTTTTTTTTTTTTTTTTTTTTGCGTTTGCCAGCTTTTCTGCCCTGACTTTGTAATTAAGCTGGTATTATAATATTTATTGAAGAAAATATTATCAAGGACACTAGAGAATATTAAATGTACTGTAGAAAAGAAAACAGCTAAGAAAGAGCTCCTACTGATCTTGGGAGTCTACATAATTCTCTAGGGAGTATATATGTCTTTTTTGCCTAAGGGACCAACAATAAAGCCATTTAATTTGTATTTCATATCTCCTCTTTTCCCTACCTAATGAGCTGTAGTAAAGGGATGAAAGTTAAGTTGAGGAATACATAGAAACCACATAATGTAATCCTGAATAAAAAACAAAAAGTCCAATTATAAGTGGAAGTGTTATTAAATTTTACAGCACTAATGAAAAGTCTGGTTTATATCTTTGCAGGTTTCCAAAATGTTTTGAAGGTAATATTTTCTGTTTTCTGGAATACGTTGATTCCTTTTACTAGAGAACTGGGCACTGGAAATTGTTAGCCTGGTGACCTGAAATGATGTATTTTGGCCTGAGGCTAGTTGACTTGCCAGGCAAATGGTAATGAATAGAAGAAGGGTGTGTTCCTTACAGTACTTCAATTTCTATTTTTACCTCTACACACATACATCACCTTAAGAAGGGATGAACTATTGTGCATTTTAAGATCATACAGTACTATGGCAAAGTGGAATTTAGATCCTCTCACTATAGGTAAATTACCAATTCATTCTCTTAGTGAAATAAAAAAACACAGAGAACTTATATTTGAAAGAGAATTATTAATCGTGCTTATCTTAACTTCCTTATTTTGATATTTTGGAATATTATTAAAATGTTACTTAGCACTTGATGGCTGTGCATGGAGAGGTATGATCCAATTAGCACTTATTTAATGATATTACTTCTGCTTTTAGTAGGAACAAATTAGAGGGATTTATGTTAGATCCAGAAAGGAGTTTGTATGAAAAAACTTAAATATAAGTGTATGAAAATATAAAATGTTATATTCTTTCTCTTATCTTAACATTTTATTGTGAAATACAAATCTTTTCCCCACTTAACATTTTATTGTGACCATTACCTAGGGCAATAAATATTTTTCAAAATCATTATTTTCAATGGATATATAAAATTCTCCAAAAGGAAACCCCTCTTTTTTCTCCATCAACCAATAAATTAATGCCTAAGTAATCATTCTTTATTCCAGGGTAGTATCATATCCTAAGATTACATGGTTTTCAGAAATGGTTTTATGAAACTCCCTAAATGTTAGTGATCACACCAGGAGATTACAAAAAGGGGGTAATTTCTCTTCAGTCTTTGGTTACATGTGCTTTTCCTAAGCAACTGCTTATTTTTTTTTTTTTTTTACAAATAGTTTATTGTCAAATTAGTTTCCACATAACACTCAGTGCTCATCCCCACAAGTGTCCTCCTCCATGCCCCTCCCCCCTCCCCCGCCACATCCATCAGTTCTCAGTTTTTGTCAGCATTCAAGAGTTTCTCATGGCTTGCTTCTCTCTCTTTCCCCCACCATTTCCGCCCTTCTTCTCCCCCTTGTTCCTCCGTCAAGTTCCTCCTAATCCTCCTATACGTGCAAACATATGGTATTTGTCCTTCTCTGCCTGACTTATTTCACTCAGCGTAACACCCTCAAGGTCCATCCATGTTGCTACACATGGCCAGATTTCATTGTTTCTCATTGCCATGTAGTATTCCATGGTATAGATAAACCACATCTTCTTGATCCATTCGTCCGTGGATGGACCCTTAGGCTCTTTCCATGTTTTAGCTGTTGTTGAGAGTGCTGCTATGAACATTGGGGTACATGTGCTCCTATGCTTCAGCATTTCTGTATCCCTTGGGTAAATTCCTAGCAGTGCTATTGCTGGGTCATAGGGGAGTTCTATTGTTAGTTTCCTGAGGAACCTCCACACTGTTTTCCAGAGGGGCTGCACCAGCAACTGCTTATTTTTAACTTGTGGATACTATATGCCATAAAAATGACTACATTTTAAATCTTGCCTCTAGAAAGCTTGAAAAAAGTTGGAACCCAACTCTAGAATCTATAGATAACTTCGCTTAGATTTCCTATATCTCAACTTCACTTACCGTAAGTTAATTTTAGCTTTCCATATGTATACAGTCTTATGAGATATATGTTTTGGAAAAAGCTAATATGTAAATAACAACAACAACAATTATAAAAATACTACAAGGAAATTACCTGGTCTCTCTGCATAATGGTTTCCTAGCCTGAAAAGTATGGATAAATATTTTAGGGTAGAGTCATTATGAAGTTTAAATTAGATAGTTTTAAGTGAAAGCCTATTACAGAGTCAGGAAGAGAGTAATGTTCAAAGATGTCTTCCATTCTTTCTTTCTTTTTCAAATATAATTTATTGTCAAATTGGCTAACGTACATTGTGTAAAGTGTGCTCTTGGTTTTTGTGGTGGGTTCCCGTGGTTCATCACTTACATACAACACCCAGTGCTCATCCCAACAAGCTCCCTCCTCAATGCCTATCACCCATTTCCCCCTCCCCTCATCCCCTCCATTCACTCTCAGTTTTCTGTATTTAAGAGTCTCTTGTTGTTTGCCTCTCTCCCTCACTTCCATTCTTTCTTTAGAGACAGAGCTAGTACATAAACTCATTTTCATTTAGCCAACATACTTGCTGTGGAGTGGAGCCATTTGGAAAGCATCCCAAGCAGATGAGAACCTATCTAATATAACCAGTATCTTGGTACTTTGTATAGAGCAACTTCATATATTAAAAATCATTTTAAAATGCTAATGAAATAAAACAAAAATGTTTTCCAGTTTTCAAATGGTTATTTTGGTAACATATAGATAAATGCAATTTTCTGTTTACTGTGGGAAAGGATTACTACAATTTCTTCAGCTATATAATCTTAAAATATGCTCAGACTATGGCTATTGATATACGGTTTTATGCAAAAGATTCAAGATGTTTTACATTTATTTATTTTTTTAAGTTTATTTATTTTGAAAAAGACACAGAGAGGAAAAAAATGTGAGGGGGAGAGGCAGAGAGAAGGAGGGAGAGGGAACCCTAAGCAGCTGCCACTTTCTCAAGACAGGGCCTCATGTGAGGCTCCATCTCACGAACCAGAAGTGTGAGGTCATAAACTGAACTGAAACCAAGAGTCAGTTAACTGACTGAGCGACCCAGGTGCCCCAAGATGTTTTACATTTTAAATACATGTAAGAAAATGTGTAAGAAGGATGAAAAAGTCAGTGTAGAGCTCTTCAGGTACTAATAATGTAAAATGTATTAATAATAATATTAATTCTTATTGGTGGTTCAATCAGTTAAACTTGGGACTCTTGATCTTGGCTCAGGTTATGATCTCACAGTTCATGTGATGGAGCCCTGTGTAGGGTTTTTCACTGACAGTGCGGAGCCGACCTGGAACTCTCTCTCTCTCTGCCCCTCCCCCCAAACATATATATATAATCTTAAAAAAATACCAAGATTAGTAATCAAGGATGACAGTATTTATGAAAAAAGCATTTGTCCCCTTACATATAGTTATATTAATATGCTTTTCACATATGTTAATATTTGATTTACTTAAATTTCACTTTGCCTTTAAAATATCATTACAATCTGCAACATTTATAATACAGTTATGTAATTACTTAATCTTGTTGGGATTAATGAGGGAAGTAGCCTGTATTGTAGGGATATCTCACAAGATGGTTTCATTTTTCCTGGCTTAAAATTAAACCAAAATATTTTCCTAATGTTCATATATAGTCAAGGTTTGCAACTTGTATCTATCTTTTACTAACATTTTATTTATTTTTTTAGTTTTTAAGTGTATTTTTTTTTGAGAGACAGCAGAGGAGGGGCAGAGAGAGAGGGAGAGAGATAATCCCAGGCAGGCTCCATGCTATCAACATGGAGCCTGATGAGAACTTCCTGGTGAAATTGAAAAAACAAATGGAATTCTTAAATGTTACCTGAATTTAATTATTAGTCTTTGTTTGTTTACAACATAGTTTTCTTTTATTTCTCAAATTGGGAGAAAGAGAGAGAGAGAGAAAGAGAGAGACATTTGAAGATATTCTTGAAAAAAATAGAAAAGTTTTGCTTAGAAAATATTCAGGCATCATAAAATTTCTATCTGTAAAAATAACTATCACTATTAAAAACGTGCATCTTTATTAAGAATGTTAAATTTATGCCTTGAAAAAATACTATAATTATGTTCTCAATTTGGTGAGCTCTTGAAAATAACCTGACAATTATGCTTGATTAATGCTTTTTTCCTATTAGCATTAGCATTTATTATTAAAGCAACCATGATACACAGACACATCTTGGCAATTTTTGTTTTTCTAAAATATGACCTGCTTGTAATTTTAAAAAGAAAATATGGCCAATAGGAAGCTTCCTTAATCAGACAAATTCTTAGATTACAAATCAGAACCTAATTTGGGTAACTTTGCAGACCTCTGACTTATTAGTACTGCAGTAGTGGGTAAAAAAAGGTACCATTATCTTTGTCAGAGTTGCCAATATTTATATAAGATGATTATATATTATTGAGTCTGTAGCAAGATACCATATTTTTGTCAGACCACTACAAGTACTATTTAAATATTATTGAGCAAATTATACTCATTTGGCTTTAATATTCAACAATCCATACATACTTAGTACATGCCTCTGATGTGTTTAGGTCAGTGTTTGACTAGGAATATATACATATAAGACATCAATTTCACTTTTAAGATATTTACATCGAAGAAACAGTAATTACTTATAGGAAAAACTGTTGGACAGTAACATTATTTTCTGGTCACCCATATAACAATCTAAAATCTATGTTAAATGTTCCAGGTATTTCGACAAAGAAGATGGAGCTGTTCTAATCCAACCATCTGGTCCCCCAGGCCAAGAGTGGTGCAGGTGAGTCAAAGCAAAGCCATCGTTGCAAACAACACAATGGACACTTCCTGAGATAGGTAAAATTGGATTTTATTAAGACGTAAAAGCATTTCTTCAATAGATCACATTCTTCTTCCTTGTCCTTTACAGTTGTGAACTATAAAATATTTGCTGGTAATTTTTGCTGTGGATATCTCTGTCTGGACTCAGTCGGGAAATTTCATTGCATATTGTCTTCCTCCTGGATTTCGTGGTACTGAAGACCAACATCTAAATTTTACTCTCTGAATTGCTCTAAGGCTCTATGCCTAGTGAGTGGGTAACTAATAATCTTTGTTGCTGATATACATAGGTCATATAAAGACTTAAAGATTAGTCAAAGTCTTTATATTGGATAGGACTTAAAGCTGATAACAAACATGAACAGCTCACATAAGTAGGCCAACTTTGAAAAACATTTTTATATCATTATTGATTTTAACCTGAATCAGAGTATATTTAACATATATTTTCATGGAAAGAGACTTATTGGGCAAAATTTTATTTGTGTTGAGTATTCTTGAAAGCAAATGTGGATTGTGTATAATACAAAAGAATAATACTTTGCTGAATGTACTGAAGTATTTTAAATTCTGAAGCTTGTCTCAGATATTATAGGGTTCAGTCGTATAGAGACATTTTCATCTTAAATTTTACTACTTTTTAAAGATTTCATTTGTTTAAGTAATCTCTACATCCAGTATAAGAACTTGAACTTAAAACGCCAAGATTGAGTCACATGCCCCACCAATTGAGCCAGCCAGGTTCCCCTTAAACTTTGGTATTTTAAATATATACAGATCATTATTCATCTACAATATATTACTGAGTGCAAAAAGCAATGTTCTTTGAGTATATATAACAACATTAATATTCTTGATATTGTCATCATGATTGAATTTTAGTTCACCAGCAGCATATATATCATTGTCTTGTATTCTAAATCATTAGTGTGGGGATATATGTTAGACGACTAAATGACTTGCTTTGGTTAAGACAGCCTAATGTTTTTAAACAAAAAGACTTATAATAGCCAGACACATGACCAAAAAATATATCATGTAGCTCTTAATGAGTTGCTTTTCATTGCTGCAGTTAAATTGATGATGTAGTTGTAAACAAACTGAATCATAACCTCAGGCTACTCTCCCTTCCTGGGAGCATGTTTCAGCATGGTTAGGAGTAGACATAAAGTAGATTTTTGGGCTTTGGGCTGGAATTTCTCAGATATACACCTCAATGTAAGGATCTCTCTCTCTCTCTCTCTCTCACACACACACACACACACGCACTGAAGTTGTGGAGCAGGGTGAAAAAAATATAGATTTTTACAAATTATAAATTTATTTGATTTAGTATATAATCATAATCCTGCACTTATCCAAGACTTTTTTCTTGAAATTTTTATAACTCATTATAACTGAAAATGAAATAGAAACATGAAAGTAATAGATGAATACATAGGTGAATGTAACTAGAATTGATTCAATAATAGGCTAAAATTTTAGAACATAATAAATTTCAAAAGATTTCCATATGTATTAACTTCTTTAAAGCACAATTTTGCTTCATTAATTGGACAGGCCTCATAAGTCTACTTTACAGATGAGCAAACAACAATTTTAGAAGACTTAGCAAATACTAGATAGCTAACTGGTTATCAGAGCCAGCAATCAAAATCTTCCTCTTGATTTCTACTGCAGGGCTTTCTCTCTTAAAATGACTTCATATTCATGAAGTATACTTGCCAGCTGAATATTTCAGTTTAACAGTTTCTAAGAATTCTGTTTTAAGGCTGGATGGCAAGTGGACAGCAGCTAGATTTGTTATTGTTCTTTATATTGTGATGTAGCTTCAGTTTTTCCTAATTGTTTTGAACAGCCTGTGTTTGTCTGTGATGCCACGATATAGTAAGCACTAGTTAAACAAAAGTCAGATGAAATTCTAGAAAATATCACATAACTGACAAATCTAAGTAATTATTAAAGAATGTGAAGATAAAAAGTACACATTTTTAAAATCTTTTATTTATTATTGAAGTATAGTTAATGTACAAGGTTATATTGGTGTGAGAAATGAAAAGTATAGCAAAGGGAACTGAATAATTTTTAAGAATGTAGGGTGAAAAAGAACCTATTTTCAAAAATAATTATTGGGAAATTACATCATGGACATTTCATGACATGTATTATCTATTTTTCATTGGAACATTTGATGACCGTTTTCTCTGAATTCCTTCATATTAAAGTATTTACATTTGAACTAGATATTATTATTGAGTATTACATATTTACAGCTGATTAATCTAAGAAATGATGATCAGTGATAGTTTTTGTGGAAACTTCTAGAGGTGTCTGATGAATTCCATTTTTGTTTCTCTGTTAAAAATGGCTCCATTTTGGATGACTCCTCTTCGTGTTACTTGAATGTCTAAATGAATGGTCATGGAGGCAAACACACACACTCACACACACACACACACACACACTCACACACCATCACCACCACCACCACCAAAACACAATGATGGCTTCTTCTGAGGCCTTTAATTTCTGGGCACAAAGTCTTAGGAGATTTATCACCAAGTAAGACATTAGAAGGACACTTGGTTATAAATATTTTATAAAATCAATAAACTCTCCAAGGAAGAAAAGCAAAGAACTCTTCTTGGATTTTAATGAGATAGCTTGCAACATGAAGAACAAGGAACACAGAACTTGATCTTACTTGAAACTTTCCATATTTTAGAAGTACTTCATTATACCTCCATTTCAATATTTCAATATAACACCCTGTTAGTTACACCATTCTATTAGCACAGTTCTTTGAAGTTTGCAGGATGACATTTCCCCTTGAAATACAACATCCATTACTGTTTACAAAGTGAACAGGTAAACTTAACTCCAGCTGATGTATTCTAGAAGATAGTAAATAACTATAAAATGCTGTATCCAGGCCCCAAACTCTTGAAACATTTGCAAAGGACCTGTTGGTTTGATGTTCTTAGTTTTATATATTTTCAGGATGTATGTGAAATATGTAGAGAAAAACACTTTAAAATTATTAAAATACTGTTTATTGTTTTGTTAGGTAATTTTAGCTTCACTTACATTCCTCCTAGAGGTTTCTTTTTTCTGGATACAACACCTTTGCAAAAGGAAACACCTTGTGTAAGTCCATAAGATAGAGCTGCATGTGATAAATGGTTTTATAATGTCATGGTCATGTAAACAACCTCTAAGAATTGTATGAAATAAATCTCCTGTGTGTTTTTTTTTTTTTTTTTTTTGATTTCTAGAGAAAGTAAAAGATAATGAATGTTTGCTTAGGGAAAAGGAAACTTACTGTCACATTTAATAAACAAAATTTTTCAGGCACTGGAGTGGCTCAGTAGTTATGCATCTGACTTCAGCTCAGGTCATGATCTCACAGTTTGTGAGCTTGAGTCCCACATTGCATGAGCTCAAGCCCTGCTTTGGGTAAAACATGAGCCCTGCTTCAGGTAAAACATGGTGAACCCCACTTTCTCCCTCTCCCTTCCTTTCCCCCCTCTCTCTTTTCTTCTCTGCCCCTTGCTCATTTGTGCCCTCTCTCTTTCTCTTCTATCTCTTAAAAAATTAACACTTTTTTTTTCAAAATTTCATTGGAATATGTTCAAAAGGTAAGATCAAGAAAAATGTATCAACTAATGTATCTACTCAGGTTTCTCATGCGATAGGGATGGTCCTACAACCCCTGGCCTCTGTTATATTAGTAGGAGCTAAAATGGTCAGAAATACCATCTTCAAAACCAGTTGGCCGATGTCAGAGCTGGAAAAAGCATTAAGAGTACAGTTGACCCTTAAACAACATGGGTTAGAACTGTGTGGATCCACTTTACAGGTTTTTTTTTTTTTTTTTTTTTTAGTAAACAGTATAATACTGTAAATGTATTTTCTCTTTTTTATAATTTTCTTACTAACACTTTCTTTTCTCTGACTCATTAGGTTGTACGAATACAATATATAATATCTATAACATGCAACATATGTTTTAATTGACTGTGTATGTTATTGGTAAGGCTTCTGGTGAACAGTAGGCTATTAGTGGTTATGTTTTTATGGAGTCAAAAGTGATACACAGATTTTCAACCAGTTTAGGGTCAATGCCCCTAAACTGTACTGTTCAAAGGTCAACTGTGCTGTTGATCTTCACTGAAAATTTAAGCTTTCTGCTAGACTGTGGATTTGTAAAATAAGAAAATTTCACAGGTGGGCAAAGATGTATTTAATGAGCAGTTCTCATGTGACCTGTTTTTTTTGTGGGATATGCATAAGTTCCCTGGGTTTAGATGGAATGTTTTTCAAATAATCTACTTGATGTTATCTTCCACTTGCTATGCCATTTTCCTAATAATTTGGCAGTATATCCAAGAAATTATTAAGAATTTACAAGTAATTTGGTATTCTAGATACTTTGAATACTAGGAGTGATGAGCTCTAAAATAAGAGGTTAGAAAACTATAGCTAGTGGGCCAAATCAAGCCCCCCACCCATTTGTTATGATCCATGAACTGAGAATAGTTTTTATATTTTTAAATGGTTGAAAGAAGAAGAAGTATAATACTTCATGTTAACATGAAAATTATGTGAAATTCAAATTTTAACCCATATATAAAATGTTATTGGAACACAGCCATGCTATTCATTTCATATTGTTTTTGCTGCTTTCACACTACAGGACCATATCGGAACTTTCCTAAGGTAGATCACGTGATCTGCACAGCCCAAAATATTTACTTAAAATGTTTGCTGTCTGGTCTTTTACTGAAATGTCTGCTGATCCCTGCTTTGGGTTATAGAAATAATTATTGCCGTCTTTTAGAAAAGGGGTTGAAAATTAATGTAACATCTTTCAGGTAAAGATTGCTAGAGGAATAGGTGGAGATAATAAACTCATCTAGAATAAATAGTGTTCTAGTATTCTCCTGGGTCTAAGATTATTTGTAGTTTCACTGTGGTCTAATAAAACTAAATGCT